GCGATCACACAGCCCGAGCTGCGACCACTCTGCCCACGACTGACCAACTAACACACACACACACACACCCTGCCCCGAGCATGACGTTATATGGTATGGAATAGCCCTTTGGACAGTTTGGGTTAGCTGTCCTAGCTGTGCTGTACTCCCAGCTTGTTATGCACCTGGCCGAGCAGGAGAAGCTCAAAAAGTCCTTGAGTAGTCTGAGCACTACTTGGCAACAGCTGAAAACATCAGTGTGTTATCAACATTCTTCTGGTACTAAATCCAAAACACAGCACTATGCTAGCTACTTTGAAGAAAATTAACTCTATCCCAGCTGAAACCAGGACACCTACCAGTCAGTTCTTTTCCAGTTCAAACCACCACAGGACAGTAACAGGAGACAGCGAGGAAAATTAGTTTTCCTATTAGCCAATATACATGCTAAATATTAATTGAATCTGCAGCAGACAGGTAAGGAGGAGGAAGGAGCTCAGATTAGATATATAGAAGAGAGGTTGATGACATCATGTCACTACTGCACATGCTCTAGCACCAGTGCTCCATAAGCTTGTAAGTCTGAGACTGGCAACAGCAGCCCATGCTAGGAAACAAGTACACAGAGCAATATATAAAGCAGATACAGGATCTAAACTGGCTTAACTTTTAATAAGGGATACACCAGGTAGAGAATATCCCAGCATGTTCTCCACCTACCGTTGCTCATGCAAATACCCAGGTTTTCTTCAATCACATGACTTGAGGGATGTGCTGCCATTTCTTTTCCTTCCTCCATAATGTCTAGAAAATACAGAATTAGCTATGCAGTATGTTTTAAAACACCAACAAGGTCACAAAATTTTATGATGCTGCCGAATTAGCAAGGACATAAACATTCCCCTTGAAAACTCTTATATATTATGTTTATGGATGCGGTTTATGGGATGTCACACATCTCACCATCCTTTCTTGAAACATGCTATTGAATTATCTCAGAATACGTATAGGAAAAGTTTTGCAAGCTCTGTAAAAACCCTTCAAATACAGCAGTGATGCCTAGGATTTCTGAAACTCATTAATGCAGACGCTGTGTTCAGCAACTAAACTCCTAATATGAATACAGCTACGATGGGGCAACACGCCTAGACAGCTGCAGCAGAACACTGCCACCACACAGCCCAAGAAAAAAAACCCCACAACTTTTTAGAGCACTAATTCGAGACTGGCGTAATACGACCTTCCTGTGAGCAAGGTGACGGTGAGGTGGACTGTCCCTACCTTAACACAACCCGCTCAGGCTTTGCCGAGAGGT